ATTATTTTCCCAAAATAAGCTTAGTGCATATGCCCCTGACTCATTGAATAAATTTTTATGAGTATATTTATAATATAAAATATTTTCACTTATATTATGAATGCAATAAAATCTAATAGTTGCTATTTTTAAATTCATACGTTGTAATGATTTAATTTTTTTGGAGGAGACAGACTCTGAACTGTGATTGAACGAATCATATCAACGGCGGCAGATTTCTCTGTGATAAGTGCGATATTGTGTGAAGTAAAGAAACGGGCGTTAGATTTTCATGCATGGTCATTTCATTTCGTCCCAAGGTGTAATAACACAGTGGCTCACCTGTTGGTAACGGACCAGAGATGGGACAGGACAAACAGATACTGGGTTGAAGAGGTACCGGACGCCGTTGAAGCTCAAGCGGCCCAGGACAGGAGACGGATAGATTCACCGTAGCTGGAGCGAAGAGGGCTGCGTTCAGACAACGTTGATGATCGATTCTAGATGTGTTTTTCATTGCTGAAGCATCTCACCGATTTGTTTGGCAATATTATATTAACCCCTCAATTATTTTTTTAACAGTAACCCCAAAATAGATTTATTGAAAAATACTCTTCAAACTGCACACGTCACTACAAGAAAATATACTTTTTAATGACACACGAACAATGATACACGCTAATTTATGACTTGCAAAAACTGTGTCATAAAAAAAAGGTTATGTTTCTTAAAATATGAACGATTTTTTACTTACAATAATGTGTGTCATATTTAATAGTCATAATCCAAAAAATTTACAAAACACGGAGTACACTTTTTAAATGTGTGTCATCTATAAAAGTCGTCTTTTAATTTTCCTCCCATTATTTTCATCCTTTCCTGCTTCTTCCCCCTCGATAATTATCAGTTCACTCCGCATGCTTCCCCTTTTTCTCTTTTTCCCTTTTTCCTTTTGTCCAAAACACCATCTTCTCGAAGGGATTATGTTATCTTTTTGTTGCAGTGATTTTGCATACAACTACCTCGAAGGGACCATTCCAAGTGAATGTGTTTCAATGAATTTGACTTTTGCATCCACTGTCACGTACGATAGCCGAGCAATTGTCATTGGCGGGAAACGCCGCGTTTTGGTATCCGACTCCATTCACTACCCTCACAGCACCCCTGATGTAAGCTTGAATTTTCTGTCATTTTCCCCTCGTTTTCCCTTTACATGTTTTTGGAAGAGGAAAAAATGTGTATCATGTTTTCAGATGTGGCCAGACCTTATACAAAAATCCAAAGACGGAGGATTAGATATGATCGAAACTTACGTTTTCTAGAATCTGCACGAACCAATTCGAAACCAGGTTTTGCCTTTTTTTTCCTCTTCAGTTGCTGTGCTAAAACTGTTCTGAACTTATGCACTAAAAATTAATCCCATTGATTATTTCCCTGAGTTTTGATTATCGATGTTTACAGTATAATTTCGAAGGAAGAAATGATTTGGTTAAATTTGTGAAGTTAGTTGCAGCAACTGATCTTTATGTTCATCTGCGCATCGGACCATATGTTTGTGTTGAATGGAATTATGGGTAAAATTTTATTTATTTATTTATTTATTTGTTTTTGGGTATGTTTAATTTTCTTTTATTTGTTGATAAAATATTTGCAGTGGATTTCCTCTTTGGTTACATTTTATACTCGGGATCAAGTTCCGAACTGATAACGAACCATTTAAGGTAATATATTTATCCATAAAATATTATTAATTTATTATTTATATAAATTAATCTCTTCTTTATTCATCATTCTCTTCTGTTTCGTAAAGTTCACTGAAATTGTTGGAAGGACTGTTAGCTAAAATGATTAAAAACAAGTGTAAAAATGTTTTTTAGGCAGAAATGCAGAGGTTTACGGCCAAAATTGTGGACATGATGAAGCAAGAGAAATTGTATGCATCACAAGGAGGACCCATTATTTTGTCACAGGTATAAGTTTTGTCTTTGCTCTTTTCTTCTCTAACTTTCTTATGAACAATTCATGTTGTTGTTTTCGGTGCTATAATATTTCCCCTAATGGTTTTCTGGGTTTTCTTATACAGATTGAAAATGAATATGGAAACATTGATTCAGCATACGAGGTAGGTACAAAACCATATATTAAATGGGCAGCTGATATGGCTGTCTCATTGGATACTGGAGTTCCCTGGGTCATGTGCCAGCAATTTGATGCTCTTTGCCCCATTGTAAGTTTGGGGTTTCAAGATTTAGGTTTTTTACTTGCAATTTTGATCATAGTTAATCGTTTCGCTTGGAATTTTCATGTTTTAGTCAAAAGAGGTTTCAATATGTTTCTTGTTTGTTTTGAAAATCAGGGCATTGGTTGGTTTTTGATACATAATTTCTTCTTTTATCTTGGCAATGACAGATTAACACCTGTAATGGATTTTACTGTGATCAATTCACTCCAAATTCTAATAAGAAACCAAAAAGTGGACCGAGAATTGGTTTGGATGATATGGTGTCCAAGTCCAACTCGTCAATATAATTTACAATCTGACTTCTACTTAGTAGCTATTTTGGTGATATGGATTAAATGTCTCCATCATAATTTTGATTGCTTCCTTCTCTTATTCAACGTTTTATCAAAAAGTATTTCTTCTTCATTACTTCCCAATATATTTCAAATGCTAGGTTCCTTTCATTTGGTGGTGTCGTTCCCTAAATACTTGTAGAAGACCTAGCATTTGCGGTTGCATGGTTTTACCAAAGAGGTGGAACTTTCCAAAACTATTATATGGTAATCATAATTGGAGTTTCAAATGTGTTTGTACATTGGCTTTTATAGTAATAAAATTCAATCCTAGAACCTAGTATGCAGTCTCGTTTCGAATGAAACTTACAGGTCAATTTTTTTTGGTTTCTCTTAAAACAGTATCATGGTGGAACAAACTTTGGCAGGACTACAGGTGGACCCTTCATTGCTACTAGTTATGATTATGATGCTCTGATCGATGAGTACGGTATGTCTTCAGTCAATCTAATAAAAATTGTTAGCACTTCTAAGCATCTACTTGGCCTCCTATAACATACTTGAGGTTATCATCTTGTATGCAACTTGACTCATATCGATGGTTTTTACAATAGAATGAGTAATGTAAAACCATGATTATTCGGTTTATAATTTCATAAACGACATCTTCTAAGTTTCACTTGTATTCCAATTCACTGTTTTTTTTTTCAGGACTTGTTAGACAACCTAAGTGGGGTCACCTAAGAGATGTTCATAAGGCTATAAAGCTTTGTGAAGAAGCACTGATAGCCACTGATCCTACCATTTCCTCCTTGGGTCCAAACTTGGAGGTATTTTCCATATTTATTCTCTTCATTTCTCATTTTAAAAGAGAACCTTACTTCTTTGCTTCTATGTTGGTTATGAATAAGAACTCAAGGAGGGCTGCCTCTTTATTACTTCTTTGTCTGATTGGTGAGCAAGGGTCCCGTTGAAATCTCAAGGATCATAATATTTTATACACATAAATGACAAAAGATAAATCACTTTTTTATGATCATAAACTCTTCTTAAGACTTTTCTCGAGAACAAAATATACTCAGGCTATTATTGAAAGATATAGTTGAAAATCAATTAACAATGGCCCAACAGTTTCTTCTACCATATCTTGTTCAAATTAATCTGTTCATCGACGTATTTCCTTCTTCTTCCCAGGCTGCTGTATATAAAACAAGATCATTATGTTATGCTTTTCTTGCCAATGTGGACACTAAATCTGATGCAACTATTAAATTCAATGGTAATTCATATCTTTTGCCTGCGTGGTCTGTCAGTATCTTATCAGACTGCAAGAATGTGGTTTTGAACACTGCCAAGGTATGCTTCATTAGCAAATTCTCCACCCACTTCAAGTTTTGTTTAGCTTCATTAGCAGCTTAACCATCTTGCTTCTTGTTCTAGATTTTCATGCCATAACTAGTCAAGATTCTTTATGACAAGTTTCTTTGAAACATTGGAATGAATAACATAAATCATGTAAAACTAGCTTTTTTATCTTCTCTTACAAAAGGATCATAGCTGAAAATTCAAGTTGTCATTATTTTTGGGTTCATATAACCTAACTCTGCAAAAGAGACTGTCTGAAAACCTCCCTCGCAGTTGTACAATGTATTTCTTCCTCGGATTAGGTCAGTCTTTTAGGATCTCAATCGGCTTTTACCTTTGATCAAATGAAATGGGGGGATACATATTTAACAAGCTAACTGCAATAAACCTTCCATATCGGTTGTTAAGTATAATGTGATGAGTTTATGATTATTTTCACTTTAGAACACTAATCGGATCATTTCTGTAGATTGTGTCTGCTTCATCTGTCATGGATTGCTTGCATTTATATTTACTTAATTATGTCAATTTGTTCTTTCAAGTAACTCATATAGTTTTATTCTTCAAATGACATATTAACTCTCAGACTGTGATTCCTAGCTTCATGCATGAATCTTTGAATACTAATGCCAACTCAACTGACTCAAGTGATTTCTCTGAATTTTCTTTAAAGTTGCACACATAGAGATTGAATGTAGTAAATATACCCTCTACTTATTGTATAAATTTACTTGTTTGAAAAGTCCCCCAAAATATACGCTTCTCGTAGTTGTCATGGATACCAGGAAAATGTTGGTCGTCTGGATCGTTGCAATGTTTTGCTTTAGCTTGCTTAGATTTGCTGAGTCTAAGGAGGCCAAAGAATAAGGTGAGTCAACGTTCAAGATCTGATTTTTATTTATGGTAGTTTCATTTTGTTTATGAGATTGTGGGGGAAAACGAGCGTAAGAGCTCTTGAAATGATTTGCTATGATGATTCTACATACTAATTGTAATCGTGAGCAGTAGTATTTAACTGCTTTATGTTATCTTTTTGTTGTAGTGATTTTACATACAACTACCTCGAAGGGACCATTGCAAGTGAATGTGCTTCAATGAATTTGATTTTTATGTAAGTTTTTAGAACTCCTAACATAAGTTTATTCTCTTAAAATATCAACCTGAAAGTTTTTGTGCAGCTCTCTTCTAGTAAATCACTTGTCAGGAGAAATTCCGAAGTACCTGGGAAAATTTACCAGTCTCACATATCAGTATGTTCTGAACCTTTGTTATTATAGTTATTCAGTTAGATTTTTCAGGGTGCGATAACGATTGACTTCCTAGAAAAATTTGCATTGCAAAATCAAAACATCAAACTCTATTAGTTTGATTTTTATTAGATGTTGTAGGTGCTAGAAAATTATAGACTTTTCATATTCCTTTTTTCACTCGGAAGGAAATTTATTAAGGATGTTGGATGCTTATCTTTATCAGGAATCTTGAAGCAAACCAATTTTCGGGCCCTGTACCACCTGCACTTGGGGATTTAGTGAACTTGGAAACTTTGTAAGGAAAAACTCAGTACATTCTTCTTCTTTGTTTAATATTTTATGATTCTCTTAATTTCTTGTTAAATTGGCCTTGATCAAATGATTTGTTTTCATGCTCATTGAAATTTCAGGATGCTCTCCTTCAATCAGTTAACTCAGAATTTTCCAGTGACGTTTAGTTTACTAAGAAATCTAACTGACTTGTAAGTTTCTTCAAATTTTCCTCTATTTTAAACCACGTATCTAGACACGTTCATAGGATCAACACTGATGTGTTTGCAAATATTGCATTTATCCGTTGTGCAGGAGGATTAGTGATATAAATGGGCCAAGTCAGGATTTTCTTGTGCTCAGAAACATGAAACGCCTACTGACATTGTATGTTTTGTGCTCAAATTATTAAATATTTTGAAGGTTCCATCTATATATTATTCATTTTGACAGAACATAATCCCGTTATATTTGTATAGGGTTTAAAGGAATCTTATGTGACAAACTTTATTAAGTCGTGATATTTTGTATCGACATATGATTACAATATTTTGTATCAATTAATGTGAATATATTGTATGTAAATGGATTGCTTATATATAATATGATATATATATATTTAGTATTATGAGGCATTAAATGTGATTTAGTTTGATTATTTTTAAATCTACAATATATATATATATATATATATATATATATATATATATATAATTTACGACATACAATCACGACACATGAATGTGTGTCATCTTTTCTAATGACGTGTGCTTCAATGACATGTAATGTAAGTCATAAATGCGTGTCATAAATTTATGACACACAAATGTGTGTCGTCTTCATTTATGATGGGGGCTTCAATGACGCGCAATGAGCATCATAAATACGTGTCATAAATGCGTGTCATAAATTTATGATGCACAATTGCGTGTCATTTGAGATTTATGTCGGTGGCTTCAACGACAGGCATTTGTGTGTCATCCGCACCCATAGATGACGTGCAATGCGTGTCATTAAAGGGGTTTTTTCTAGTAGTGCGTAAGACTATCTCACGTCCTATCCAGTGCGAGAACATTTCTCGTAATCCATAAGGCACGAAGAATGTCTGACGTGGATGACCTTTTCAGATGACATAATTTATTTAATATCTCGCATTTTGCGTAAAGCGAGGTTCTCGAGAAAATGAACCCCTGTGAAGAATTTATCGTGAGTGATATTCAAGGTACCTCGCGTTTTCCAAAATGTGAGGTCTTTTAGAATTAATTTAATCATTTTATTTTTATTGCATTGTATTTAATAAAGTTACATAACCTCTACATTTTATTTTGATTACGTAATATTTGGTGTAATAACATTTTAAAAAAGTAGATTCTCATACAAATAGACACTAATAACGCCAATAATATTAAACATGTAGATTGTTATATAAATAGAAACTAATAATATTGAACATGATAGTCATGTACATCTTGACGAAACAAACTTGCTTAATTATTCCAAAAATAAGAACTATAACAAGTACATAGAATGTCATAATATCCGCACCAACGTTGGAGGTCTTTTTACGCACACAGTTGGTAGAACAACTGTAGTCTTTGATTTGTTCTGTAAAGGCAACGTGATGACGATGCCACGACTGTAAATGTTGAAACAGATTTTTCTCCAGACGAAGAACAAGTAAACTTTCAAAAGATCAAGAGCTCTCACAATTTGAAGTCCCTCATCCCTCGATTTTCCCCCATAACAAAATAGAATAAGGCCATAGACATATATGGCGTTGATGTTACCTCCATCGGCTGCTTGCTTCAATAAAAGAAGACCGACGTCCGAATTGTTTCCACTAAAAAATAAACATGTCATCTCTATATAAAGCTTCAAGATTGTTAGCATGAAGACATCTTTGGTGAATCGTCTTCTTGGGTTGAAACCATGGCAGGATGCTAATATTTTTCATGGAAACATTATTGAAAATGTAATCCTGATATGCAGCTTTATGAAAACTCTTTCAACTCAACTCCGCATTGACGAAATTAAGGATGGAGTTAGAAGCAACATGAAGTAGAATTTTTGTTAAGACTTCTCTCGAAAATTCGACAATATTAAAAAACTTTTTTTGTCATTTTACTTGAAACCGGGTTAAGAAACCTTCCAACATGGGTACTTATTTATAACAAGCCTCACACTCGTCCCGAAGTGAGGATTACATGGACCTCACTTTTCCCAGGACGCGAGATACATATTGGAAAGGCACAAAATCGAATAAAATCCAATAGATCAGATGTAACTCGCGTTCCACAAGATACGAGGTATTAATTAATGAAAAAAACCTAAAATCAATAAATTTGTACTAAATATATATTTATTATTTTTTTTAAAACCCCGAAGCTAAAAAATAGGTTGATAAAAATTTTCATTGAGTAATCTTTGATGTTAAACGAAACTATGAAAATGTTTGAGGTTATAAGTGTAGTTTTGCAACATATATTTCAATTGAAACTGATGTGAACACATATAAGAACTTATAAACAAGGAACGATTTATGTAAATAACTTAAGCGATTTTTACATTTTAATTTTAGCACACAATAGGCAAAATGAGAAATAGATGTTGCCTCCCATAATAAACGGATACCGCCACACCAGAGAAACTTAAGAAAAACTTTGTCTTCTTTATTCGTGCAGTTGTTATTGAGCAGAAAGGAAAAAGCTCAGAAGGGTTTCTCAAAAGGTGTTCACCTGGACCTAATTCTTGGAGGAAGAGTTTGGAAGGCCCAAACGGAAATCTAGATGCCACCAGAAAAGAATGCCTTAACATTGTTCTTGGTATATTCGGTATAAAATAAAAGGAAAAAATGCAGCACTGTTTTGAGAAGTATACAAAGAAAATCCAGATCCCTCCAAAAGTGGATGCATTTTTTAAACTAGAAGTATTTTTAGCAGGTTTCGAGGAGATGGTTTGGTTCAGTGGAACAAAAGGAATATAAGTAGGCATTAGTCGGGAATATTTACTACTGAGATTCAGGAATATGATCAGAAACTCGTGTTGTGTAAGACGCGAGGTACACATCAAACCACCATATCAAATCAGATGCTCTTACGTTAGGAATATTAGGAACTCACACTTTACAAAATGCGAGGTTTATTATCTGCAGTCCGCCCAAGTCCCTTCCACATCTAGTCAATCAGCTATTCTATTAAAAAAACAAGACTTCTATTCCAATCCGTTTTTCAAGCAAATAGTGGCGAAGAAACAAACTACACAAAAAAGTTAAAGAAAAAAAGAAAATTGATCAGGTGCATATTTTATTATTCTCTTTGCATGATCGTATATATTTTCAAAACATGTCGAGGAGAGGAACTGTTACAGATTTGGTATACTATGATGGTAGAATTATGTGCAATGATTATCTTGGCATCGTCTTTCAGTCTTCATATACTGTGATGATGACCTTGCTGACAAAATTAACTCATAAACAGTTGACGAAATAAGTGAAAAATGTTGTTTGACATGGTAGCAGGAAAAACTGAGCACGTTGAAGTATCGACTACCGACGTCGTTAGAACCACTAAGGTACTCAATATGAAGTGTTGATAATTATGGTGATGTGGACATTATGATCGATTTCCACATGCAATATTCACTAGGAGAGCCACTTGGGTTGTTTACATATTTCTCATATGATAATAATGTTATTGTTGTCCCAAATTAGAGACAAGCTAATTTTGACTTTGATCCTAATGTCCATAGTCCGACATCTAATTTATATAGCGATATGAACATATTGAGTGTTACTGCTTGGGGCAATAGCTTTATTGAATCATCTTCTTCGATGCCAAGGCGTTCTTGCATCGCTAGCTTGGACTTTGACTTGAATTTGTAACCTAAAACATATAATCCATACTGCAGTGGCGTGGGTACATTATCTTCTCAGCGGGAAATGAGGTTGCAAGATTATAAAGAATTTAACCTATTCGAAGATTTGGCAACATTTATGGGGGGACATTCCTATGTTGGTGCCGTCGACTTTGATCTTCGTAGTACAGTTCGTGAGCGATCTCATGATCGATGTACAGGTGTTACTCATATTTTCCTCGTAGCTGACAATGCTGAAATATTTTGGTTTGATGGGGAAACCTTCGACGAAGAACCATTAAGGGAGATTGATCCAGATGGTGACAATGTGGGCCCCTTTAATGAATAACCAAACGACCTTGACATGCTAGAAAGAGGGAATGATGATGAAATTCAACATGTCGTGCCTCTTGTTTCTTATTACCAATCATCATCCCACTTCATAACAATTGAGTGGAACCTTTAAACGTTCTCGACTTTCCTAAATTCTCGCAACTTGAGCAATACAATGAACATGGTGATGGTGAACTCTATGTTAGAATGACATTCAGAAAAAAAAGAACTCACCGTTGCTGCAATTAAGAACTAAAATATACACCGGTCGGTTATGTCAACTGTGAGAAAAATAGACTCGGATAAGTACATCACTAAATGTGTCCACAAGTCCAATGAATGTAATTGGAGGGTTTGTGTATCATTCTTGAAGAGGCTGAAAAACTTATAGAAGCTAACAAAATACAAACAACCTCATACATGCGCTTCCAGCAGGCTTACTCAGGGTCATCCAAACTTAGATGTTCACGTGCCTTGTGATGCCTTCATACCACTGGTCAAAGCAAATCCACGTATTACGATTTCCAGTTGTATTGTTTCAATCACATCGTAGTATGACTTCATTGTTAACTACCATAAAGAATGGTACGCTAGGTATCATGCTCAACAAAAAGTGTATGGACAATGAGAAGAATCGTACAAAGAGTTACGACCATAGCTGAAACTGCTGAAGAAATACAAACTGGGCATGGTCGTCAAACTGGAAATTGTGCTGGCATACGAAAATGACCATGTCGAACAAGGTACGTGCCTTGAGTTTTTTCACTTTTAAATAAGAATATCTTTCCTTGTGACACACTTTTCTTTTCTCTTGTAGAACGCTTTTTCTCTGCTCTTGTGGCGCGTTTCTTATGTTTTTGGTAAGTTTTTTGCATACTTCTGCAGACGTGTTGGTGCTTCTATAAAGATTCTCGTGACATTTGTTTCTGATTGGCTTGTCGGTGGTCACGTATTGTCAGATCCCCTCTTTTGTAAATGA